CCATACCACTCAGCTTGGTGTCATCTGCAAACCTGGTGAGGGTGCACTCGATCCCACTGTCTATGTCATTGATGAAGATATAGAGAGAAGGATGTTGTGGGGGACCGTGTCAAAGGCCTTACAGAGATCCAGATAGACGACATCTGTAGCCCTTCCCATGTCCACTGATGTAGTCCCTCCATCACAGAAGGCCACTAGGTTAGTTGGGCAGGACTTGCCCTGGGTGAAGCCATGCTGGCTGTCTCGAATCACCTCCCTGCCCTCCATGTGCCTTAGCATAGCTTCCAGGAGGATCTGGTCCATGATCTTCCCAGGCACAGAGATGAGACTGACTGGCCTGTAGTTCCCCAGGTCTTCCTTTTTTCCCTTTTTAAAAATGGGGGTTATGTTGTATTTTAAACTGTAACAACTCTGAATGAAAACTGACAGTCCCCTGGGCTGTGAATCAGAGTAACTTGCAAGGCAAAAAATTTTATGTAAAAAACTCTCTATCCACATTTAAAAAATGTTGCTTTGCTAAAATATTTCTTCACTATTTTCTCCCCACCATCACCATTTTCTTTACCATGGCATAGCTAGATTTTGCCCAACAAGAAGTACTTTCTGAATATGAACAGACACTGTGTTTGGAATATAAAGTAACTGATTAAAATTATGGCCAGCCTTCTTTTGGTAGCCACCGTATTAATAAAACATGCCATCAACTGTGACACTCAATATGAAGAGGAGGAGGTGTCATTTCATGGGGTACGTTTAACCAGACACCAGCCCATTTTGAATGTTTCACTGGTTTAACATCCAAAAATAAAAGCACTCAGTGTAAGCTGAGGCTTCCAAGCTTACAGCTAGCAGCAACAGGCTTTCTGGATACACGAGATGTTTTCTCATTTTTAATAGATAGAGATGTCTATGGACAGTATTAGAAAAAAAAATCTAAACCAAACAGAAATACTACTTCTCAACTGCCTTGGACAGTTTGGATCTAAGTCAAGACTGACAGAAGAAAATACGATTTGAGAAAAACAAAAAATAAAAATGTCATCTGTTCAAATAACTTCTGATTTTATGGATACAAGTGCTTGGAGTGAACAAAGTTCTCAAACAAATAACTAAATGGCCATTTAAGCATGTTTGCCATCTCCTTAGCTTGTGGACTGGGTCTGCAGTTTGCAGCTTGATCTGCCCTTTCCTTGTAGAACTAGGTCTGTTGAAAAGTGCTTGCCATCTTCAAATCTTGAACAAAAATCTAAGCGCTACCAGATTCTGAAGTACCCTTTTATTCTGAGAGTTCATTTTCATTTTCTTGTCATGGCTTGCAGTAAACACTCTAGCAGTGATGTTGAACAGTGGAGTGTAATTATACTAAACCAAACCATTCCCTGTTACTAATAATAGCGGGATACAACCAAACAAAATAAAGGGGAGGGCAAAAAAGAAAATTAAGGATTTTTTTAAAGGATAATTTTTTTTTTCCTCCAAAGTTCTTAAACTTTTAGTAGGAAATTTAGGAAATGTCAAAGAAAAGAATGTAGAATGAAACATAAAATTAAGGCCAAGCTATCTCCTGAAGTTTGGCTCTTCTGTGATGTTAGTTTAGAGTAAGCTAAGCACCCTTGGCACACTCTGTGTCCTTATTAACAACAATGAAATTCACCTCTTTCAAACCACAATAGGAAAATAAGTTTTCCGCAGCAGACAATTAAGCCAAGACATGCAACACTTGGCAATTATAGTATTCATCGCATATGACTATATTATAACAATACACTCTGCTACAAGTTGTAGCACTTTACAAGGAGGATGGAGAAAAAACTGTGACCCAAAGAGTCAACATCCTTCTCTTCTCCATCCCTTCTTTATGTAAGGACTAAGATACTTGGTTTTGTAGGAGAGCTTGCTTTGCATTGTAATCCTTCCTAGCAAGGTCAGAGAGGTGCAAAGATTTGCTATTTCTTATACTACTTTACTTCTCTCCATTTGGTTGCATTGCTACACCGATAACTCTGAGACCCAGAAGTGCTTCCCGGCTCTCTGGAAATGTACACGGTGGTCATGTCCTGACAACGTACCTAGATGGGCCTCATAGGCAGCATCTGCCTATTTCCCTTCTTTCCACCCCTCTTCAGGGCCTGCTTACCTGGTGTGGATGATCAGGGGGCCAGGACTGTATGGTACATCTGCCCCACTGTTTAGACACAGCTGACCTGAGCAAAGCTACAAAATGAAGTAAGGAAAGTTCATCTTTCCTCCTCTTGCCTACAACTGCACGAGGACTCTTTTTACAAATACTGTCAGGTGACATGTGGCCAAAAGGTGGCCAAAAGCCTACTTTTTTGCCTGAGTTGAAAAAAAACTTCTCTAGAAATAGAAGCATAAATAAGATGCTATTTTCTGGAAGATGAAAAGCTAACCATTGCTACCAGGGATTAATTGGCATGGCTTGGTTGCTCCTACTGAGTGTAGAAGATCAGCATTCCAATAAGGATGGACTAATGGACTAATGATGCTTCAGTAATTATAGCTTTTCTCTGCTCCGACCCATTACTTTAATTTAGCAGTATATTTTTAGAACAGTCCCTTGATCCCAGTACCTGAAACGGAGAGGAAATCATCCACTGAAGTGATGTCATCAACAGCTTCAGTGAGAACTCGCACTTGTTTCTCCCACTGATCTTTAAAGACGTCCATGTTGTCCTGTGCTACCTTGCTCTGGGGTCTGGCAGCCAATGTGAGCGCAGCATTTATTACCTGTTATTCAATATCATTTGTTATGAGGAGTGGCAAAATTTTTTCACAAGGGAAAGAACAAATACATTACGGACTATGTTAAAAATACAGTGTTACACCCCGTTCAATATGCAGGTCTCAAGATATGAATGTATTTTTCACAGTTTGTGGAAAGCAGGCAACAATATAATGACAAAGGCAAGGCCATAATCTTCACCTAGGCTGTTTTCCCTGTCTCAGGTAACTGATGTTTTTTAATGCCAAAAGAGTTCTCAAGTACTTTTTAACAGGAATCTTACTTACCTGTGGGCACAGACTATCAATCTGCGTTGCTGCCATACGGACTAACTTTACACCTTCTTCATTATTCGAGATTGAACAGGCCAGATTTGCAACCTGCAATGAAATCAGCAGAATGAGAATCAAGTTTTAGGCAAGCGGGCCATTTTATACCTTTCGCTCTTCTTATTGAGCCTTGCCTAGAATGAAAGAATTGTATACAAGAGGAATGATACAGCATCTTCTGTGCTGGTGAACAGAAACCCACGTAGATTATTTCCTTACAAGCAAACTGAACTAGCCATCTCCATTAGATTTTTCTCAAAATTTCCCTCACTGTCAAGTGTTTCACATCCTCCTCTATAGCTTGAAAATGATCTCCTGAGAAGTCATATAGAGAATGTAGAGCATCCAGACAATTATCTATACATTTCCTTTCCTCACAGTTTCTTTTTCCTTTTATTAACCGTGTCCATTATGAATACTAGTAATCAGGCTCACCCATATACTCCGAGCTTTGCAAAATGAGGAATCTTTGGTGTCCTAACACATGGAATTGTGCTTTTCCACCCACAGACAAAACTCCGATACATTCACTGATACTGGGAAGTTACATATTTCTCAAGTATCTTCATTGTTTCAGATCCTGATGGTTTTATGCATGTTAAAATCATTTTAATTCTCAGGTGGACCTCTTTATTTCTACGTGATTGTCTGCCCTAGAGTAAAACGTCCATTAGCAAGAGTATCATAATTTGGTCATGTGAAATGTCTCTGCTGAAAGCCTCATTCTGTAACGCATGCCTGAAGATGTTATTCCAAGATGTAGGTATCTACATGTGCTTGCTCTGGCAAAGCTTTGGGAAGTCTGAACCTCACAAGACTGAAGGCTGTTTGGATAAGATGAAGACAGGGGAGAGTTAGAGACTCTTGAATGAGATCTAGCAATCAGACCATGCCTCCAGACACTGCAGAGCTGCCTCTCTGTGGCTTGGATGCAAGTGGCAGAGTAGGTTCTCCCAGCTCATACAGCGCTTCTTGCAAAAAATCCATTCCCAAGAGCTTTGTGCCAAGTCCATGAATCTGCCATGGGTTTTCCAAACAGCAATTCAGGTCACAGTGCACATAATTAAGCTTATCAGTGATATTTAAATCACAAAAATCTGGAGGGGGAATACAAGATTATTTTTTTTTAATTATCCAAAGGTATGGCTCTTAATTCTAATCTACATTAAAACAAACTTATAAAGTTTTAAATATGCGTCCTTGATATTATTCACTGTGCCTGAAGGCATAACTATCAGTTGGAAATGATTCATGAATTAGTTCAAATACCCCCATCTTTCCAATTTTCCTCCAGTTTCCCCCTGTGGTATTAATCTGTTCTTGTCTCCAGTGCACATCGCCACGTTAGCCCTGGTCCATCTGTTCTGCATAGAACCCATTTCACTTCACAGTTATGTAGAACGTGGTTTGCATATATCACGGTGCCAATGCCCAGGGAAGAAAAGAACCTAAGGCTTCAAAGAGTCTTGTACGCATTTCCTAGTCAAGATTTTATCATAATGTTGTGATTTTTATTTTCATTTCATGGTGAGACAAATGAGTTAGTCTGTTTGTTAACAGCCTTACAGCGCTCATGTCAAAAATGTTCTCCTAAGCTGACATCTTCCAATTAATTTACCATTTTCTGTAGTCACTTCTTTGCACACAAACAGACCACTTTAATCTTCGTGAGAAACAAAAGCTAAGCAGGATAATAATTAGAATGCAGTAACATGAGTGGAAATTACAGACCTTAAAAACTAACAAATGGTATTAAGTTCAGCAAAAGCTATCTGCTGCATTTTAAATAGTGGTTTTTCAGATTGCCCTTTCATTTTGTGATTATCATGATGAAAATCTGTCCTAAGGCTCCAGATGCACCATATATCTTACTTTTTTCTCAGATAGCAGTGAGATATGTGACTGAAAGGGGCTGGGTGTCATGGCAATCAAACTATTAAGAGGTCTTTGAGTTCTCTTGGAAGAGATCTTCGCAGGAAAAAATCAGTGAAAATAAAACTTATTTCTTCTCTCTTTTAATTACTCTTTCAATAGAATCTGATGAAATAATACTCGGATACTGTAAAGTGTCCTAGTTTTCCAAGGAAGGATACAGAGATAACCAGAGGAAACTTTTTCTCCTTTTTTCTAAAATAATTTAGAGTTCAGTACATTGTTTTGGATGTTATTATCAATACAGAAGGAGTACAAACAATCTATAACTACATTAAATATGCATCAAGAGCATTACAGTTATCTGTTTAAGAAAATATACATATCACGTGTAATCTTAATCTAAATAGTTTCTGTGGTATATTTCAAGTCTTGCATAAATATAGTCCTGTGTCATCAGCAGTCAGAAAGCAATACTACTTTCTGCATAAATATAGTCCTGTGCAGTCAGAAGTCAGAAAGCAATACTACTTTCACAATTCAGCAGAGAGTACGCCAGCCTGGGAAGATCCGTTTCACAATTCAGCAGAGAGTCCCCCAGCCTGTACCATGGGAAGATCCGATTATGTCAAATAAGCACAGAGATAAGCAAATCCTACAAAGGTAGATGCAATCTGGATAAAATTGAATTTAGCACTACAAATCAGAAATACCATGACTTTACCCAAAACTTATTTTTAAAACATGGCAAGAAATAGACATTACTTGAAAAGCCTGCATTTCAGTGCTGTCATGTAAGCATGGATCTGTGAAACAGTACAAGTTTCAAGTGCACTCAATCACCAGATACAACACTATTTAATTATTTTGATTGACTTTGTTATCAAATACACAATCAAGTTACCGTTAATTAAGATTCTTGGCACAGCAAGGTCCATATGCATGCTCTTAGTCAGTAGAAGTCATGAGGTAATTCAACATGCTTTAGCCTACTATAAATTCAGCAACTTCAGATATTTTTCCTGCCCAAAACTATGACCAAAAAAGCTTAGACCCAATTCCACTCCACTTAGCTGAGACACTTTGGTTAGGTGCCAAACCGATCTCTTTGGATAATGGATAAAAAGAGAAAGGCACTTCCAGAGACTGTTTCAGGTCTTTGGTTGACTATCTCATCCTCTAGATGTATCTAGTTTATTATTTAAAATTAGATTATAGCTAGCCCTGACGATTGTTGAAAAAGGTATTACTGAAATAAAAGAGGTTTTAATGTAACTTATGTTACTTCATAATGTAAATAACTTGTTTTTCACATGCGTATTTAATACAATATGTTTCGCGAAGAACCTAGGCTCTTCAAGGTTGGGAATTCATTTAATACGCCACTCCTGAGTTGGATGGAGCAGATAGCTTGGAAAGGAAAATAAAAAGGCTGTATGTTATCGTAGCTGCCAATTTGCCAAAACTTTGATTTGACAGGCTTTACCTTTACGCTTCAAGTGCTCTGTCTCCACCAAAGCATTGAAGAGGAAATTTCATGAGAGGCTGCAGAAGTAACCAGGTAATTAATTTTTCCTTTTTTTTTTTCTTTCTGTTTACTAAGTTCCTTGAGCATACTGAATTCACTGATTGCCTAAACAGAACTTAAGTTTGTATTAAGATCATGTGAACTGTCTGAAGAGTATTTATATGAATGAATACATTTTAAATACCAAAATCAATGAACTGTGAATCATCCTCAAAATGCGTGGGGAACTTAATAACAGTGAAACAGCTGCATAGATTAGACATTATTGTCCAGAATTTCAGGTCTGCTAAGCTACTCTTATATCATCAAAACAATTGCTAAACACCTTAAACCTGTCCTGCAAGAGCACGGAAAAGTAATGAGCAAGAAAATAAACACTCCAGCTCCAGTGATGCTGTATTTTTCTGCAATCACCAAAGCCACTGAACCAATCCTAGAATTGGGGAGGTGAAAAAGTGCATACCAACTCCTTCATATTTATTTCCTATCACTGGCACCAGTAGCCCAAGATGCAATTCTGCAGCTTGCTAGGTATCTATCTTTAATCATGCAAATAGTTCCATTAGTTTCAATTATTCAAAATATATGCAGAATTAGTCCCAATAAAATGTATTTGCATGTATTTGGTTGCACTTCAGCCTCAAGCAGTTTTCTGCTGTATAGCAGATGGGGGTAGGGAAGGATTTTGTTTCTAATGCAAATTTTTGTTACCGTTGGACATACCAAGGACAGGATTTATTCTAAAGATATACTTATATGGCATCCGGAAGTGTTAGTGCTGCATGGATAGGCAATGCCTACGTTAGTTGTTCGCCAGCTAGCAACTGAAGCATAGACTGGCATTTTTTCATTGCTTTTGCCACGCGTGCTACCTAGGACAGAAAAACTTTATTTCTGCCATGAAATTGCACTCCAAGTTACAAAAGTAATCAAGGATCTTTCATACCAATTTACTTTATGTTTACACTGATGAAAATCAGTATAGATACCTTTCGTTGTGTTTTTAAACTAGACTATTTCCAATTTTGACTTGAGCTCTCATTAAAGGTAATCATGACAATCAAAATGTATTGTCCGCTGGTTCAAACTTAAATTCAAAGATTTAACATGGCCACTCTGAATTTAATGTATGTGAAAAGGTCCAAAAAAGAAATCCATCACTTAGAGCAAAAATGTAAAAAAAGGGAACGGTATGCGCTATAGCAAAGGAGCAATATCAACACAAAGGCTGCAGAATATTGCAGCTAATGTATGTATTCTGTTTTTTAATTTTTTCTTTTATTCTTTTTTCCCACCATAGATTGCTTAGAAGAAACGATACAAAAAAAGCTCTGTTCAGCTTCCCCAACCATTTAACCATTCTAAGGTAGAGAATGCAATCTATTTATATCTTAGTTTTGTGTATTCTTTGTAAATAAGTTGTCTTTTTTTTTTTTACTTTTGTTATACTTTTCTTTCCTATTAATGTCATTTATTTTTTCATTGTAATTAACTGATGGAAACATTAGGAAGAAGAAAATTTACAGTGTTATTCTTTTTTAGGGAAATATAGAATAACTTAAACAAACCCAAGACACTGTCAAACTTATCTGTCTACACCACACATTTGAGAAACTGAAACTTTGAGTTATTCAGCTTGAGTTGAAGGTGG